AGCAGGGGTGAGGGGGCCACCCGGGGAGGCTACGGAGACGGGGGGTTGGGGGAGAGGATGCCCAGGGTTAGACTGCATCTTCCCGCTGCCACTAACCCTTCTTCTTTCCCCCAGTTCTGTACTGTCCGGAGATCAAGGACTTGGCCCACATGACTCGCTGCACGCTGTAGCCCCGGGGCCGGAAGCTGAGGCCGGAGGGAGGTGGGAGCTGCGTTCCCGGGGCGGGCTGTCCTACCAGGGGTCGATGCCAAGGCTACCCCCTCTCCCATCCCAGGACTGGCACGGACGAGGAAGTGCAGCCGAGGGCAGGAGGGAACGCCCTGGAGGTGTTGATGCTGAGCCGGGGAGGCTCCTAGACGAATCGCCCCCATCTGCTGACTGTGCCAGCCATGTTTAGGATAGAGCGGCCCAGGGATGATGATAAAAACAGTCTATGGACCCGTGGGAAGGAGACAGATTGTTTCCTTCGCTCTGACTTGGCTTTTGTCCAGGGCAGCTCTGGTTGTGTGGGAGCGACAAGTCCCATTTTAGCAATTTTGTGTCAATGGTTTGAAAATTTCAAAACAAAAAAAAAATGGAACGGGAGAGAAAGAGGCTGATTTTCATGTCATGTTAATCTCACTTCACTACTATTAAGAGGCTTGAGAAAAATAAGCCGTTTGGTTTGCCCCCTCCCTCCCACATGCCCACTGTCTCCAGTACTGTATTCCTAAAATTATTACCCAGATGCCTCTGGCCTGCCTCATTTCAGAATCCCCCTCCAACCTGTTAGTGCAGGTATCAGAAGGTCCAAAGAACATTCATCTGAGGCACCTAATTAGGGCCTATCAAGGATAGAAAAGAGGCATTTGGTAAAGGCATCAGATTTTAAATCCCATCAGTATCTTATAGTCCAGTCAATGGGGCCTTGTTGGAAGTGTCAGGATTCCACTTCACTTTCTGAATCAGAACCTGCATTTTAACAAGAATCCCAACTGATCTATGTACACATAAAAGTTTAATGATCAGCCCAGGTCCTAGATGCTCTAGGATGTTATTTACCATCTATGGGCGAAATGTTTAGAACACAAATGGTATTTAACAAACTATACACTATTTTATTGAAGGTTCTAAAGTGACATTCTGTTGAAGAAATCTAAATTAATGTGCATAGTTGGATTTTCCTGAGTTAAAAATGTGAATTTAAACCATATTTTGGTTTTTCCTGTCCTTAAGTCTCAGCTTAAATGTCCCCTCTTTTGGGAAGCCTTTTTCAGCATTCAACCTGGTGTTGCCCCTTCCCTCACTTTCTATAGCATATAATGCCTTGTTTTATGTTCTCTGCTTTTATTTTCAGATAGTATGTGTTTTGTTGGTGTCCCTACTAAAGTGTAAGCTTCATGCGAGCCATGACTGACTTGTGACTATTTTATCTCCAGTGCCAACAACAGTGTTAATACGTAGTATGTACTCAATAAATGTTTGTTGAATCTTACCTTTTATTTTTTAACACTCAAAAACTGTCTGACCGCTCTCAGCTATGTTTGTTGAATTTTATCTTTCCTTTTTAACTTTCAAAAGCGAAGTGTCTGACCTCTCTCAGCTTCTGAGCAGCCCTGGTAGTGAACGATACATGTCAGAGAAGCGTCTAGCAGTTAAAATACTTTGCAAGCTATGGAGGTCTGACCTCCCACGCCCCAACTCTTAAAAAAAAAAAAAAAGGATGCACTTCTGCACACTTGGAACTGAACCCGTGGAGCTTTGGTGACCTCTACTGACACTTGTGGGAACTAAGCATGGAAAGGATGGAGGTGGAAAGGATGATCAAAAGGATGAATAGAAGGCAGTTCTGAATCGCAGCAGGCAACCCCTCACACACTTCTGTCCAGAATCCCTGCTATCTCTGATTTCAACCTGAGGCCTGTATAGGTATCCTGCTGCTCACCCTTCATCTCTAAACTGAGCTCATCACATTAGGATTGGGGTTGGAAAAAGCCTCGGAGTTTTAATTGATGATCCAAGAAATGAAAAAGGTAGTCACAAGGTTTTTAAAAAGAGAAAAAGACAGATAATATGAAACAGCAAAATCCTTTCTTTCCTTATCCCTCCCCCCAGTCAAAGAACTCCCACTCAAAAATAACAGAGCACACAGAAAGGAAAGTATAATTTATATGTACAACCAATAAACCTGATACAGAAGAGGGGATTGGGACAGACCAGGAGTGAGTGTGAAGAGAGACTGGGGAATGGCCAGCAAGAAAGTGAAGGGGCAGCGAAGAGGAAGTGGAGGGTTCGCCATGCAAACTGCCTCTCTCCTCAGCCCCTCCTGGGGAAGAGGGTGTGCGTGACCGTGTCTCCCTAGCCTGCTCTCCATTATTTTTCTCTGGTCCTCAAAGCAAGTAGCCTCCTGACTAGGCCCCCTGCCTCACACACTCAAATTTAGTCCGTATTCAGGCCTTCAGGAGAAAGGGGAGAAGTCCTCAAAGAACCTGAGCCCCAGAGCTGGGGGTTCCCCCAGCACCTGGCCCATTGTGTTCTCTCCCACCCTTTCTAGGTCACCTGGGACCCTAGGTCAGATTGGGGAGCTCCTCTTTGGCTTGAGGGGGTATCGCCCAACCATTACTCTCTTCGTAGGGGTGGTTCTTGGCCCCTGTGGAGGGGGTAAGATGCCCAACACAAGATGCCAGTACACAGGAGGTAACTGAGCCAGTGAACGGCGCCTTTATTCTGAGGCGGAGCAGCAATTGACTCCCTTTAACTGCTCCACACTCTATTTCAGGAGAGGTAAGGGAAGGAAACATGCAGCCACCCCTCCTCTTCCCTTTCTCTCTGCCAGGGCTCATGGTCATCCTTATCTAAAGTTCCCTTCCTCTCTTCAAAGCTCCTTTCCTCCACCAGAAGTTTCTAAAGGCCAGGCAGTGCTAATCCCCCACCTCTGCACAAGATGGAGCTTGTCCTGCAGGAATAAAGGCTCCACCTCTTACCTCCCCACAACCATTTATTGGGAAGCTGTGTACGTTTGGCAGTGGAGGAGAAAGGTTCTTGGAAGACCCTGCTAACCAATTCCCACCCAGACCTCTTCTCACCAGCACAGTCTTCAAAGCATGGTGGGAAAGATGTGTGGGAGTGGAGAGAGACAAGGGCCCTTCTTGAAAAGAGGAGTCATAGAGAGGGGCAAAGGGGCTCCTAGCCCAGTGGCGGCCCAGCGGGTGGGGAAGGCGGAGGATTGGCAGCAGACCCCAGAGTCTGAGCTGGGGGTCGGCCTCGGGCACGGGGCCTGGGTGAAGGGCAGGCCTGGGATCCAGTCAGTCGTCTATACAGATCACCTCCCCGGCTCGGGGCTCCTTCCGGTCCAGCCCGTCTGACACTAATGCCCCCACCATTTCCTTCTCCTTCTTCACCAGCACTGGAGGGCCGTTGGTGGCGGCTGTTAGGAAAGGGGATAAGGAAGTCAAATCCCTACTTCACTCCCAACATCACTTTCTGACAATAGTATATTCTCCTTCTCTCTCTCTCTTTTTGTAATTGATTTCAGAGAGAGGAAGGGAGAGGGAGAGTGGGTTAGAAAATCACCAAGGAGCCTGGCCAGCATGGCTCAGTGGTTGAGCATCAACTTCTGAACCAGGAAGTCATGGTTTGATTCTGGGTTAGGGCATATGCCCGGGCGTGCAGGAGGCAGCCAATTGATGATTCTCTCATTACTGATATTTCTGTCTCTCTCTCCCTCTCCCTTCCTCTCTGAAATCAATAAAGATATATTTAAAAAAAACAAAAACAAAAAATATCAATGATGAGAGAGAATCATTGATCAGCTACCTCCTGCTCGCCCCAACTGGGGATCAAGCGTGACCTCCTGGTTCATGGGTTGACACTCAACGACTGTATATTCTCATTTTTAAGTCACCTCATGCCACTTGCAATTGTTCAGAGTAGGGTGGTAAGACCAGAGCAAACACCTCTCCCTGAGGTTCCCCTTTGTGCCATATGATGGAACACATGCTCCAACTC